GGGTGGCACCTAGAAACTTTGAACTCTTATTTTTGCTTTACACTTAGTTGACTTAGTGGCACCCTAAAATGGGGTCTATTCACTGAATAATAATAATATGTAAATAGGGTATATAGAACAATAATAATAATAATAATTAGTGGTCTTTTATAGTGCAGTACCCCAGCCTATGGCTGGGCTCACCACGCCGTACATAAAAATATTATCAAAAGAGACATAATCATGACATTAAAATAAAATACAATTATGAAATAAAGAACAGCATGAACCCCAGGACTTTTACAAGGCAAACCATGGACGGCAGCCAACAAGATCATTTATCGGTTAGAGGAGGGGAATCAGTCAGGGTAGTATAGTTTAAAGAGATGTGTTTTGAGTGCAGTTTTGAAGGCCTGGGTGGATGATATTTTGCGGATGTGTAGTGGCAGGCTTCTTAAGCAATGGTTTGATGACAGCTGATTTACAAAGAGGGGGAACAGTGCCAGAAGACAAGCTTTCATTTATTATGTGGGTTATCTTTAGGAGCAAATGATCTAATGACTAATTAAAGTATCCACACGTTTACCGAAGTGCCTAAATTAATTATACTATATCTAGAAGATATTAAATATTACTAAACTGTCAATTTGGAGAGATAGCACCGTGGCCGCCATCTTGGTTGCCACGAACCGCAAACCTATATCCTATATGTATCCCTAAACCTAACCTGAACCCTAAATCTATCCCTAAACCTAATCTGAACCCTAAACTTATCCCAGATACTTCGATGAAACAAGGGAGACTACTACTTTTTGTGTATCAGAAATGGGCGTCGGCGCCGAAAAATCCGAGTTTTTAATTTTCCGATGTGTGTTCTATTTATTATTAAATTAGTTCTTTCGACATATATTTGAGTTCCGTTTCGGGCCTTATAATTTGGAAGACATCTTGGCCTACATTTCTAGCCAGCTATTTTGCTTTTTTCAATCAACCTTTATTTTGAAAATCTTTGGTATATATAAGGCATCTTTGCATTAAAATTTTTTGGTGAAATAATAAGATAAGGTCCTTTTTGATTAAATCTGTATGAGCATTAGATATTGATATATATCTGTGCCAAGTTTCATTGATGTAGGTCGTGCCTCACATTTGTTATGCTTGTCACAGTGACCCATATCACCATAAGGTGGCTCAGCCTAATTTCGACATGGCGTGGGCTACGCCCCCTTTTTAATGGCGGAAGTTGCCGATACTTAGGAAATATTTAATTATTACCACTTTATATTTTGTGTTTCAGAATGCATTTTGAAGACATTAAAACTGGAATGTTTTAATTTGAGCTTTAAAAACCCTGTAGAGTCCATATTATAAATGATCAGAATTTTCCCTGTGCAACACGTTGTCATTGGCAACCATTCACAGCCACTTGCATAACGGCTATATCGTAGTACTATCTCAGAGTTTCATTCATAAGAGTTTGCCGTGTGCAAAATCTATTAAACCATTAGTCAGGGAAAGCTTTAATTAATTATTCATGTGCCAAAGTTGAAAGTTTAAAATAAGTCGACCCTAAACAGTATTTTAGTGATAGGGAATGCGTTGCCTTATATAAACAATATAGTCATTGCGCATGACGCGATCAGTGGAATGAGGTCACAGAATGTGGAGATGCAGTCCATGTTAAAAAATGACAAACCAAGTCGTACTTTAAAAATTCATAACTTTAAAACTACAACAGCTAAAAATATGATTTTGGTGTTATAATTCTGTAAAAAATTAGCTCTATTCAACTGTGCCATTGGTTTATTTTTACAAAATGTTTAAATTTTTGACCAAAGTATCTACTTATCCCTAACTACTGTCCTAGATTTTGACCCTTTGGGAACCAAGGTTTTGACCCTATCGGAGCTAGAGACACAACACGCAAATGACGTCATGGGTATTAGTCTCAACAATAGCCGAAGTAGCCAAATATTTAAAGTTTAATTTAGGCCTAATGCCTAATGAATTTAATAGTATAAATATAATGAACGAAGTCGAAATAATCACCTTTGCCTTTGTGTTATGTTTCTTCGTTTACTAGAAATGGAAATCACTTTTTGAAAACTGACTTTTAAATTAAGTCTAGGATAGTGTAGTGTTTCTGTACGTATAACTATGCTAGACAGGGTATACCGTTAGACAGCTCGGTCTCATTCATTGAGGACAATTATTAATGTTTTGGACATTATCGTCCATTTTGAATATTGACAAGCTTGTTTTAGCAACATAGTGACGTAAAAGGTCACAAGTTCTTGGTGTTTATGGAATTTTTGCTACTTTTTATTTTGCCTTATGTGTTTCCCTATAAATTTGTTTTTATTAATTTTTAATATCCGGGTGATAGTTTTTACCGTTTTAATTATTAAATATAATATAGATTCTATACAATAAAAACTACCGTAATTGACATTGTTAAGGAAACAGAAAGGCAATATTATAAATAAAGAACAACGTTTTATTTACACCGTTAAATTTCCGGTGTTTCAGCGGGAATTTTATGAGCACAACCAACTATAGATAAGTGAAGTCTGCTGCAAGGCTTTACTCCTGAAAGACGAATTCAAAAAGGTTTTATTAGTGTTAGGATTAGAAATTAACAACTTCTGGCTCGTAAACGAAAAAAAAAACAGCATTCACGCTGAAAGCCCCTTTGCCCTTTACTTTAAAGTAAACTCTAAAGCTAGAAACGTACTGGCTCATACTCATAGTTCATAGTCATAGTAATTTAATCATAGTTACACATTAATTACCTAAATATCATATTACATACATAGTGTAACATAGCATACTCATCGTAATAACTTGTTTTAGAACTGTAATCACTACGTCTACTAACTACTACTCCGGTTTGTCACGTGAACTTTACCTGTTAACTTACTAAGTAGTCCACGTATGCCTTTAAAATTTTTAATAAAGTACCTGAATTTATTCTCATTGTAAGAAACAGCTAAATACATTCTCGATGAGCCAGAACAAAACAACAATGCAGAACTGCCAGAAGTCGAAGTCTACAACTACAAGCTTTCAAATGTTCTTAAAGGATAATAAATCAAAAATGATTACAAATTACCCATTCCTTAGTCATTCTCAGATTATATCAAGACTGAAATTGCAGTGGAAAAAACTTAAGGCTGAAAACCCAACCTATAAAAAGCCTCATGCAACAAAATTTAAATTAATGTTTAAAAACTGTAATGAAAAGGATCTGATGAGTCTGACTGATAATGTTTCTGCTAAAAACTGGCGGCAAAACTTATTTGACACGCAGAATTTCAAATTATTTAAAGATGAATGGGAGATTCCATCACTGAATAACCATAGTGTGCCTATTCATAGTGATACCAGTACTAGTAAAATCATCATCTCAGGCACTAACAATAAAAATAATTCCACTACTAGTCAAGTTAGTGAAATATCTATGAATAAAAAAAAGGCAGCAACCATTTCTAGCCTAGATAATTCATCCAGGAATATTAAAACCTACAGTAATCATGCCTTTCAAGTAAGACACAGAGTTCCAGAAGTCTATATGGAAAAGTTTAGTAGAGTTGGAATTCTCAAGAGCCCAACAAAGTCTAAGTATGAATTATTTATGGTTAATCATAAATTTAAATTGATGATAAATTATGTAATTTAAATTTTCAGTAATAGTCACAAAAGTCTTAGTCTTAGCAATGTAAAATGACTTTCAATAAGAAGTACATCATTCATTATCTTCATTAAATTGTTATTCATAAATATTTTTAATTAATCATACTTAACTATTTGAACTGCTATAAAGATAACTTTTGAGTAGTAATAGATCTATCTTCATCAGTTCAACTTTTCAATTAAATTTTAATATATAAATGTTTTATTTAAGAAATTATTTTTAAAATTTCAAAGTTATAAATTTTTCAAAATTATTTCCTATAGTATAATTAATAATATACTTTTTTAGACTTACTAATAAAAATTGATGCCAATGATGAGTTACCATATTTTACAGACCATAAGATGCTATGGACTATAAGATGCATCTTAATTTTAAAAGCATTTTTTTTTTAAAATAAAATTTGTCCATTTTTATTATTAGATTGCAAAGCCAGACTAAAAAAATTCTTAGTTTATAAAACCGAACTGACCTTTAAAATCCTTGAAAATCGTCCTCTGAACTTTTTTCATCTTCTAGTTTTGGCCATTTTGCATTCAGTCCTCTATTTGCACATTTAGTCCTCCTCATTTTTTTCAGTTCTTCTTTACTAGTCTGCGAATGTTTTTTCTGTTGGTGGAGGGCCAAAATACCGCTCAGCTGCTCTGTTTCCATGTTCTTCTGCATATGCTATTACTTTCAATTTATAGCCAACATCATATAAATACCTTTTATTTTGTTCCATTTCGAAACTATCACTAACAAAAATATTGTACTGTTACCGATAACACAAATCACTTTCAATTCAAGTTCACTGGCACCATGGACTGCAATAACGCATCACAGACTAGACAGTGTTCTGGGTTTGTGATGGCAGGGCGGAGAGTGAGACTGTGTTAGCAAGCTTGTGAATCCCCGCAACTCATGTTCGTGGCACCGGTGCACTGCTGCTAGTTTAGATCCAATGTTGCCAGATAGAGATAGGTTTACTACGGCATCGAATATATGGCCATTTTTAAGACTGGCTGGAATTTTAAAGTAATCACTAGACATTTATACATTAATTTCGAGTTTAAGACGCACATGAATTTTGGAGGCAATTTTTCTAAGAAAAAAGTGTGTCTTATAGTCCGTAAAATAAGGGAGTTTACAGATAATAAGCTACTATTTAAAATCATTTAAATACAAAAAATGAGTCATTCAAAATTGTTCTATGTGTGTCATTTTTATTCAAATTAATGTTATAAATTAACATTTTTCTTGTAATATTTTTTATTTAAAGCAAAATGAAGAAGGCTATTTATGGTAAGGTTGCCTTTCTACCACCTGAAAAGTCCCGGAAAACATGCTCAGATTTATATGACTTTGGAAACTACGACATAAAAGATTGTGAGGATTCCAACAGCAGTGTTTTAACTGTAGGAAGTCAAAATAAAGTCGCACTTGGAGTGACTGCAGTAAACAAATTAAAATCCAGCCTTGAAAGGGAAGCTTCTGCTACAGGTATACATCTTTACAAGACAAACAAAATGGACACAGAATTTAATTTTACAAACATAAATTTGAATCGTATAAATGAAGCTCAATCAAATGTTCAGAGAAAAAGGCTTCATATCTTGAAATCTTTGCCTAAGTCAGCAGCAGCAGAAAAACCATCAAGTGCTAAGATTAGATTTCCAAAATCAACCACCAAAAAGTCTACCAATGAAGGGCAAAAAATATTTTCAAAAATAAATACCTTTAAAGGTACAAAATGTAACAAAGCTACTAGTAGTAAATCGTCTTTAAGTGTGAGGAAGAGGCAAAACAAAAGTCATAAAATGCCTTTAGCTTACAAACATGAAACTTATAACACAAAGGGATTGAATGATATATGTAATGACATTCCACCAAGAACAAATAATGGAACACTTTCTCATAACAGGTCTTCTTCAGTAACTAAATCTATTTCTGGAAAAAATAAAAATATACAGTCTGTAGAACTTGAAGAAATTAAAAGACAAATTACAGAGCAAGAAAATGACTGCAGCACTGAATACAGTGACCAATTTGAATGTGAATATAATGAAGAGGACGCTGTTTTGTTGTTCAGGGAAGACATTTACATGTCATCAGAAAATCTTAACAATTTGGGAGTGGAAGAAAAAAACTTCAGTGAAGTATTTGATGATGACTCAGTAAATATCAATAATGGCTACTGCAGTGAAAATGAAATATTTGACAGTCAGAATAATTCAGGTAAACCGACAGTTAGTCAAGATTTATATTCTGATCATTCCGACACCCGTTCCTTATATGATACATATAGAGACAAGAAAGAAAGTATTTTGCCATCAGCAAGGGAAAATGAAACAGTTAGTTACTCACCAAATATTCAAACAAGAAGCAGAGCTAAGAAAATTAATAGGTCTACTGCTAAATTTAACAAAACTGACACAACATATGACTCTATGGATGTAGAGAATATAGTATTAAAACCAACTAAATTGAATTCTTGTGCTGCAAGTTTCTCAAGTACTACTGAGTTTAAAAGATGTAAGGGTCTCCGAGGTGAAGTTAAAAAGGTTCCTCATGTCACTGATATAACCAGGAATTCTTTATCAGCAGCTGAAAAACAGAAATCAAATTACAGGAACAACCTGTTTCAAAAGAAGAGTATTGAACATAATTATAAAGCTAAAAATCTTCCTGATGTAGATTGGGACAAGGAAAATAGTGAAGACTTTTGCTCAAAAATGGTCAGTGAGACAACAGAAATACTACTGAGGGCTATTATGAAAATACAAACAAATGGGGCATCTCCCCTTAATCATGATTCTCAAAGACGTGAAGAAGAAAATGTAAGTTCCACATTAAATTTAGACATTTATAAAATGTCATACCGGTAATATGAATAATTGGCATTAAAAAACAGATATCACAATTGTTACATATTGTAAAATGAGAAATAAAATGGAAATTTATCATTGGTGAAGTTGGTAAATTACTGAAAATGAACAGGATGTTTATGAATTTTTTTAAGTGGAACAGGAAATAGGTGTTTGCTTCTTTTGAAGTCTAAGTAGATATTTTTCAGAATTTAAATTTTTATGGCACAAAATTATGAATAGGGCTAGGAAGGTAGCATCCATTGACTATATTTAATGTAATATTTGTTTATTATTATCACTTGTTTATTAAGGTACACAATAAACTGTGATATCGATTTTGTAAATTATATTAATACTTTAACAATTTTAGTTAACGTGTCTTGAATCACCAACATCGAGTAAAAGTCAAGATGAGCTAGACCCAGACTTTTTTCCCACCCATAAAGCCAATGAGGTAAGTCATCTTCAAGACATGTTCTTCACAAGAGTAAACTAACTTTTAGTTAATAATTCAAGTTTGCAAGTTTATAACATAGGATGAGAATCGCTAGAGGTGCTTTACTACTAACTAGAATAATTAAACAAGGCATACAATTTTTTAAAGTTGCTTTCCTGTCATTAATGCTAGTAGTAATAGTTTAATCGCCTCTTCAAGTTTACAAAAATTGTATGATGTTTCATTAGTTTTCTATTGTAAATGTAAATTATACAAATGTTTCCAGCTAACATGCAGTTTGAAGAGCAATATTGTAATTGGAAAGATGTTTGATGACATTCAAGTTCCAAACAAAGTTGACACTCAAGCCAAACGTAGGTCAGTGTCGCATTTATTTGTCATACTCATATACTAGAAATATATATATTTTAAATTTTTATGTATCCTACCCAATGGTATAATTTTTTTATTATGCACCCTTATGTTAACTTGTAAATTATACCCCAAAGTAACAACTAATGATCTAGATCATAAATTCACTTCCAGCTTTCATGTGCCTAAAAATAAAGTTTAATCATTTTCAGACTGCTGCTGAGTGGAAAACTAAAATCTAATTGTAACTTTCAAGATTTATTTGATGAAAAGGACATGTTTTTATAATAAACAGTATTGGAGATAATATTGGTCAATACTTCCCCAAAGAAAGATGTCACTCTGCAACATTCTGTTAGTTTATATGTATTATGTTAATTTCATAAGAATTTTTAAAAAAACTTGATTGGATTACCCTATCACGAACTTATATCAAATATTATTTTTAAAGCAGTTCTTGCTTAAAATGTATTGTGACATACATATTGTGACATGTTTGCTTTCTCACCATAAGATTGTGAAAACTAAATAAAAAGTTTCTATTTTGTTAACAAAAAATAAGTAATTCAAAAGTAAAATCTTCAATTTAAATTAGTTTCATCAGTAAATGTGTTGAATTATTTTATTTTATCAGCTCACATAAAATAAAACATAATTCATTTTTGACATCATTTTTTTTTTTTTTTTGGTGATCACATTAATTTTTATGTTCTTTTTCACTTTTACAAATAATCATGTATTGACATAATTTTTTGTTTTTTTGGAAGTTGCATATTTTATTTTATTTTATCAGCTCACTTAAAATAAAACATAATTTATTTTTGATTTCATTTTTTTTTTTTTTTGGTGATCACATTAATTTTTATGTTCTTTTTCACTTTTACAAATAATCATGTATTGACATAATATTTTGATATTTTGGAAGTTGCATATCTTTTAAAAAAAGGATTCTTTTGCTGTAATTTTGTTCACGAAACAAAATATTTATTATTGTCAGTATAATTCATTTTAATTTGGAGACTTTCTGAAGCATGACTGGGAGGCCACACTGATTAAAAATCCAATTACAGAAAAATCCTACCAATGGTTTCATAAATTTTACATTTATGAAAGTATTATACTATTTTATACTATTGCTATTTTCTTGTTGCATTTAAGTTTTTTTTTTTGTTCTGTAAAGTATGTTGAAAATTAAACACAACTTTACTCATTTATCCATGTGAATTCTATATCATATTTAATACTTTTACAGTTTTAATGTCCCCCACATAATACCAGAAGGTACTCAGATCCCTGCTAGATTTTTTAGTTAGCAAAAGAATTCCCAGGAGATTTTCTCATCCTGAGTACCAGTAAATACTTTATGAATAATTTTTTTTTTTTTTCATTTTAGCGAGTGACAGATTGTCACAAATTGTCGCTTTAAGGCAATACCTGTAAAATCTAGTTAACAGAGCTGAATTACTAAGCTCAGTAACTATAGTCACTATAGTACACAAGTTCTCAAACGTTTTCAAGTCACGACCACATTCGTATAGAAGCAAAGGGCCCTTACCATGATATATTGCAGTGGTTGGCAAACTGGGGTAAATATGGAAAGTTTTGGGGTAATGAGGTCTCAATAGATATAATATAAATAAAATTATATTTAAAACTTTTTTGCTTTAGCAAAATATTCTTTTCTGGCAACACTTCTGGTCAGAGTAATTTAGAAATGCAACCGAACTGTTGGGATTGCAAGTGGCTTGGCAACTAACCTTTTGCTTTGTGTACGTCAATCGGCCTAGTTGCTTATTTTATCTTATGCTCAATGTCACTAGATTTGATATCAACCAGTGCTGTAAACTCAGTGGTCATCCCATTCAGATTTCTCCATGGCCGGTCTGGACCTCCTCTGTGAGTCAGCCTGCACTGTGGCAACCTGCTCCGGTGGTACCCTACTGATGCAACACCCTGCTCTTGTATTTTAGAGGTGTTATGAAACCAGCTTGGTTGACCGCTGTCAAATACACTACTTTTCATTTGGTTTATTCCCCTTTGAGGCTTTCCTGAGTGCAGTATGCTCTTCCTAATGGCACTATGGCTTATGCTTAATCATACTTAATGTCAAGAGATGGGGGGGGGGGGGGGGTTTTACTGCCTTATGCAATAACTTACCTTTGTAAACAAGGTTTTTTCATTCAACCGAGCATAGAAATATTAGAAATCAATTATTTAACCCCAAAGACAGTACCCGGTATCCAAATTTCTCAGATTTGAAAAGGCCCCTTCTTTGATTTTGAAGTCATTGTATCAAAATGAAACATTATTTCTACAAAAGTCAACATTTTTTCACAGAAATCTTTTTGTTCCACAATGAAGATTTTATTAATTTATAGGTAGTCTAGTTATATCCAACTTTTGTTTAACAAGCAAATTATTAGCTAGTTATCCATTACTAGATATAAGTATAAGTCATGGAAAATGAAGAAACTAATGGCAAGCGACCACCCTCTGTACTAACCTTAACATTGATTTTTTATTCATTGATTTTTAATAACAACAATAAACAACTAATGTATTAAAATCAACTTCTTTATATAGTTTAATTCAGTTTAAAATATATTTTTGATGAAATTAATGTTATCCCGTAATCAGGAAAACTTCATTTGTTTTCCAGTGAAATGATAAACCATAGTACTAGCGCTTACCAACTTTAGCAAAAAATGCAATATAAATTTTTGTATTCAAGTAGAATGACTACAAGATACAAGATACATACAGTTCTATTTAACTGACGCTTTTTGAGCACAAGCCTTTTAACTTTTGTAAAGATTAAAATAAAAAAACAAAGAAAAGTTAGTTACACATTAATTTATTTACAAAACTAAGTCAACAACAATGCAATGGAAATGTTTTGACTAGCAATTATTAATTTAATATTTAAGGAACTTGAAAGAAATATGCTGCAGTCTTTTTAAAATGTGAATTTTATGAGATCTTCACAAATGAAAAATGAAGAGACTTAATGCAAACTCCATTATTTAGCTTTAGGGAAAGGTTTATTAGGTTTGTCAAAAAAATTGTCTTGCCTGCACATTTTTTTTAAAAGTTATTTTTTAAGCAAATGCTTGCTTAAGATCACATATAAATTTTCAAACTTACTGTACATTTAATAAAAAGGATTAAGACTTAAACTTTTTTTTAAAATGTTTCAAAGGCTTAGGATCAATTGGGGTGCATTAAAGAAGTGCTTTTAGAGTAGTTAGCTGTGTTTTTAAAAATTCAGTGCCTGGAGTTTCATGAGTTTTTATACTCAATAAAGAATTGTCACCTTTATCAAATGAGGGAACAAAAACAGCATAGTTGAATTAGTTGGTCATAAAATATATATTTTTTTTTTTCTTCTGATTTGTTTAAGTTTAATCAAATGTATTTTAATCATTTCTTCAAAATAAGAGAGGAACATTTAAATAGATTTATTATAACCTTATTTCCATTAGCATTGCAAATGAATCTGTACATTGTTTAATACACTGATTAAAAATCAATTGTTCTTGGAAGATCCTCCAAATCCAGAGAATCCCATCAATGCTGACATGTCTGGATCACCCTCATCTCCTGAGTCATCAGCTTTTCTTTTTCTATCTTTCCTCTTTTCTTTTTTGTATGCTTTCTGTTTTTCTTCCTGCAATGATAATGATGTGGAACTGCTAGTGCATGTTTTCTAACTTGTACTTGTATATTTATTCTTCTTAAGTAGCATTCAGGGAAAAAAATAATTTTTGTATACATTATATTATATTACAAATGTTCCATAATTAATGTGCTCCCCTGAAAATGAATTGAAGTGGCAAATAGTGAGATTTTAAAATTATCCCTCACCATATAGAGCAGATCAAGCCCATTGGGGCTGTATCTAATTGAGTACTTTTATAAACTTCTTGGTGCTTGCATAACTTCTATTTATAAAGCTTTATTCAAATAATCAAGTCCAAGAAGGAACACAAAACATTTATCACTGGACTAATAAAATGTCAAGGCGTCCAGAATTTTTTTCCAAAAATAAAAAAAAGTGGGATTTGTTTACTTTAACTGAAAAGAATAGGTTAGATAAGTTATGTTTATGGTGTTTCCTGCACACTTTTGATAAGACTTCATCTTGAAAAGAAATATTTAAAACTCAAGAAGATACTTTCAAAACATATTACCAAATCTTGCATATTTATTAATGATTTAGAATAACTGAATTGCTCACCTCTTCTTGAAGCTCCTTGACTCTTTCTTCAAAATCATAATCTTTTTTCTTTTCCTCCTTTTTCTTTTTGTTTAGTTCGAATCTTGCTTTCACTTGATCCAATGATGACCTTTCAATTTTCATGGACATACCCAAATTGCGTTGGTCTAATAATATTAAAAGTGAAAAATGTAATTAATTTTTTTTAAATTATTTATAAGGTGCCTAAAAGATTAACTGGATAAAACATATTCTAATCTAATTGTTATCGTTGGTGAAGTTGATTTTTAACCATTTTAACAATATGTATTAACCTTCAACCAAAGTAATTATTCTTAAGTCATTTCAAATTATTTTTTTAAAAATAAGTTTAGTCTTTAATTAGTGTAGTATGAGTTATTTTTTAAAAAATAAACTCAAAAGGCACTTCATTGCAGCTGTCTTACGTTTTTTTCCATTGATATGATCGAGAAAGTTTATTGAATCCTTGACAACGCAGTCACACACATTGCAATAATAGCTGAAATTGAAATATTGCAAAGAATAGTGACATGTCACTCAGCATAGCTACTGAATGTTTTAGTTTCTATGAAGTAACTATGTATTTTATTAAAAATCATGATTTTGGGCTGTGGCTGGCTCTGTCTTAAACGTTTAATTAAGTTTTTATTGGTGCACAAAAATGAACATCTTTCCTGCACACAGTGCGTAATAGTACTATAGCTTTGCTCATTACATGAGAACATTTGGTGGAGTCTTGATTTGACCTCCCAACATTGTGAAACGTATCATTATTGAAATATTATTCCTAGACCAAGGTGGGCAATCTTTTTCCAAAATAAACACAATTGTGGCGAATAAATAGTACAATTTGCCTCACTATATAATATAAATAATAAAATATAACAATTACATCAGAGTAAATCCCGCTGAATGCAGTGCCTCTGCTTATTATTAATCATGTAAATAAATAATGAAAATGCTTTATTTTTTATTAACTTCTAACATTGCTAACAAGGAAGTAAAAATTTGAAATAATTCAATAATTGGAGCTTTTTTTTATTCAGTGATCCTCTCTACAGTTTAATTAAGAGAGAATCTGACCTAAAAAGTAATTTCCTCGCAAAATTGCATTTTAAAAAATAATATAACAAAATTAAATTTTTGGTAATATAGTCAAAAGATTTAAAAGTTGCCTTACCCTCCTTGTTGTGAAGCTGGTGTTGTCTTAGTGATTACTTGAGACTTGCCAAGTTTTGAGTCAAGATCAACCTGTATGACAAATATACCAAAAGTTAATTAAGAATATCTAATATTTAGTATATTTTAAAAAATATATATATTGCTTCATCCTCAGATTAAGATTTTCCAGTACTGAAAAATGAAAGCAATCTCACCTTATAATCACGAGGTTTGAGAAGCTCCCTTTTAACAGGAGCTGCACGCTCCTCCTCACTGTCACTGGTATCATCTTCTAATTCCTTGAGGCGCTCCTGTGCCAATTTTTCATACACCTCTTTGTCCCATTTCCTTCTATGATCTGGTACTGGTGCCTATTAAAATTTTCAAAGATGATCATTCATAAGTCGTATAAAATTCATTTAAGTATTAATAGGATGATTTTAAACTCTGAAATTGGCTCAGATGAATTTCTCCTACAGTTCCATAGTTTAAAACGTAAAAATATTGTGCAGAAAATTTTAATGGATTGATTTTATCTTGCAACCTCTAGACTTGTAGCATGTTTCAATAGATTTTTCTCGATTGTTATGGTTTAACGAAAAAACTTAGGTTGCAAACTACATTTTTGTATAGAGATTTTATCAATATATTGTTGCAGGTGTATGCTCCAATTTAAAGCATTTAAGTTAAGTAGCAATTACAAAAATATTTAATTTAAAATTAATAGAAGAAATAAAATTTGAAAACAATACTTTTAATCTTAAAGATATAAATTAACAATAAATAATTTTTTGGGGTGTATAAAGCTCCTTAAGGAGTGTCTTTTAAATATTGTCATATTAATTGTTTGATTATTGCCATGACAAACTTTTAACTTTTTATTTCAATATTTAATGGATGAAATGAAACAAAAATTTTTATTGTAGGACTTAAATTTTAAAAGAAATGAAGTTGTTCATTATAGTTATTTTAACAAAATTACCTGCTTCAACTATTCCCAAGTCAGATTATTACACATAGGACAAAGTGGACAACATGCCTTCCCCTAGGCTTTAAAGCAATAAAAATAAACTCCAAACAAAAAGTGTTTGCCTGCGCTCCACAGGCTGTTTTGTTAAAAGTTTTTTAAGCTTCCTGATCCCAAACCCAATTTAATTGTCTAAACTTTTCCAGTTTCAGTTAGATATAAATATAACTTTCTGGCAAAATGAAAGTAAAAGTGTGACAAAGTTGTCAGTTTAGAATTTTAATAATACAAAGTACGAAATATCAAAATAATGAGCCATACACAAAACATTTTAAAAAAAACACAATTAAAGTAGTAAAAAGTCTGAACAATTTATCATCTAAAATTAGCGATTATTAACCGGCTAATCCATGCATCATTAGTGTTATCCTATCCAGGGACAACACATTGTGGGTCCTGGGTACAGCCAACATAAGGACCCATAACCATCTATGTATTGTTTATTAGATATTAAAACTTTATTATAGTAAGTCTCAGCCAGGCTCCCTTGGGCCTCAGGGATCCCGGGTACAAATTGCCCAGTGGAGCTTATTCAGCCCTGATCCTATTTGTAATTTGAAACTTGTCATAGGGTATTTTCCCACGTATCATTTGTACTCATTCATAAGCTGACAAACTAAGTTTTGGCAGGAAAAAGTGTAATAAGCCGACTCCATAAAATAAAATAATATGCCTGTAGAAGCAATATGATACAACAAAATTAATTTATTTCTTTTAAAAATGTTTATTTTGTAAGTAAAAATACTTAAAAACTCATATTAAAAAACAGTAATATTAATATGTAAACCACAGGTTTGCTTTGCGTGTTTACCGGTAACCATGCTCAAAATGAAGACAAATTACCCCATTTTGCATATAAATATATGTTGCATTATGTTTTATTACTTTTTTCATCATTGTTTTCTTTAAAAGAAACTGTATACCTGGATAAAATTATTAAAAATCTCTTACAACCCACTCATAAGTCAACCACCCCTGAAATATTTCCATAAAAAGTCGACTTGTGAACAAGTTTATATAGTCACACAATCCAAAGGACCAAGCCTATTGACGCCCAAATGAGAAACTCGTACTGCAGTAAAGCTGTTAAGGCACACACAGAATGAGTGCCCTTAATGCCTACCCTTAAGAATTTCACTAAAAGATAGGTTTCCCCAGTGTTTTCCTGGCCAGAAACCTTAAATTTAAGTCTTCTTAATGAGTTACAGTCAAAGTGGATGTAATTGATACCTTAGGCTTAACTCACCCTAAGGCATAAACAATGGCTCTGATGGATAAAAACCTGCTTTTATTCAGCCTCTTTCAATGAAGTGCCTAGTTTTTATTATCCTTTGGATGCAACCAGAACATGGCTCTTCCTTTTGAAGAAATTAAAATTTTTAGCTGCTTTCCTTTCTAACAATACCTGATTAATAGATGTTAATTCTTGCACTAAGCTTTAAAGAAAATAACATCTAGTTGACCTCAGATAATTAGAGATCAATAACAACTACTTCAACTAGGCCTAACATTCTGAACTAACAATGGATTGGGATGATCATTAATTTCTTCCACATTATTTATTAAAACTTACTCTAAAAATCAAGCATTAGCCGCATTATTACTAAATAATTATTGTTATAAGCTTGCATTCGTAAATTCTACCACCATCACATGTGTTTTAAAGCTTGTATTTGCCTATAGTTTAAGTATAGTGTATTCACATATGACATGATTATGATTGATTGGGGACATCATGTTTTACGCTAACGAGGGCTAGCGGCGAAGTTAAGCCAAAATAAATTCTACATAAGTTGGTCAGCTATGAATTCGGTCATCATCAGGCTAATAGTAGTCGTAAGAGATAAAAAAATTCATGCCTATCTTAAACAGATAACATGATGATGATTTTCGGTATATCAAGGTTTATGGTACTTACATCGTAAACTCCTGACATTTTTTTTTTTTTTCGTAACGCTCTTTTGTTTTGAAACTATTCTTGGATACAAAATTAAATTGACTTTTCAATCTCGTTTCGGTGAAACACTAATGCATTTAAGTTTCGTCTTTTTAAAAAAAAAATTACTTTTTTGTTATTTTTTACTATTATAATTTTTTTTATAACACAATGTTTAATTAATCTCAAGACATTTTTTAAACTATTTTACTTACTACAAGGGCAATATGAATGAATTATTTGACTTTTTAAAAATAATAAACCCATCTACTAAATTTAATAATTTCGCTTTTTTGTTTCTTTTTTTTTTTTAAATTGAGATTAATAAAATGTAACTCATTAACTATGATTAACATCACCAGCGTCTCAAAAGTCTAAGCTGCACAGTACAAAACTGATATTGTCAGTCGGAAAGGTTGGGGGAACCGTACGACCTAGAGGCCATCTAATGGAAGGCTGTCACGCCCCGGAGGAGTGAGGGGGTCTGAGAAAGGGTGACTGTTTTTTTTTTTTTTTTTTTTTTTGGGGGGGGGGGGGGGGGGGGTATAGATAATATCTGATGCCACAAATTTTTTTAAAATCATACATAAAAAAAACTGATGTATTCTGAAAGAAGATGTCACATTTCAACCCTTAAAATTTATTGTAAGACTATATTATATATGTGGAATCAATAGGTCTATGTTCGTGTCGCATAGTGAATTACGGTGCAAACCCACGGACCCGTTTCAAGTCTGCCTACTCTGGTGGCACTCTTCAAATACTGCTTTGAAATTAACAATTTACCATTTGATGTCACGAGGTGAGGTCCGTAGCCTCTAGTGAGGCCATGTATGTATGGGCTTATACTAGGCATTAATGACCCCTCTCTCCCCCGTAATTGTTTTGCAAATTTTTTTTTACGCCCTTATCACACGCTTTGCCTAGCCCTGTGTACCAGGCCTACACAATATACGTCCCGCCAGCACGATTCGAAGTAACGAAATCTTTATTTTATTATTTTTTTAATAGCTCCCCCCCCCCCCACTCACCCCGGTCCCATTATCTTTCGGCCCGCACAAGGTTTTTCATAAAGTATTACGGCCCCCCCTTACATTTTGAGTTGTGCAGGCCTTCTGTATACGATGAAATACTGGCTTGTGAACATTTTTGCTTGGTTGTTGTTAGCTGATTATTTGAGTCTGTTTAATCCATAAAATAGATTTTAAATTTTGACAATACATAAATATTCTGAATGCATTTGGGTACCAAACATAATAACATGAATTCAACTTGACAAACCATTTCAAAGCAGACCAGTCACATGTACACATGGGTGGAAAATAGGGGCTTTGCAGCTCACCTTGCACAGTTTTTAAATAGAAGAACAGAATGGTCTTTGCAAATATGTCTGAAAACTTCCTGAGTTGAATTGTTTTGGACAGGTGTTTGTAAAGATTTCTAAACACTGGCGATGTTCTGCTTCATTACATCTTGATGTGTCGGGACGGATCACCTCTACTTGCGGAAGGGTGAGGAAATGTGGAACCATGTTCTGCTTCATTACATCTTGATGTGTCGGGACGGATCACCTCTACTTGCGGGAGGGTGAGGAAATGTGGAACGCCAATTTTGACTGTATGTTGTCTTCATAAAGTCGGATATTTATATTTAAATGACACTCAAGCTGCAATTGATGCAACCTCAACAATGTTGAACAACACAACTAAAGGCCATCTTTTACTTATATTTTTTTTTGGTCACAGAGAACACATTTCATTCGCCATTTGGTCCATGGCCAATATGCCTCCTTTGATTTTGTCGTTAAAAGAGCACAAACTCTGGTTTCTTGCATTCAGTTTCCTTTTCTATATCTGGACCAGTGGCGTAGCTAATGGGGTGCGGACCCCATCTCAAGGAGTGACACCAAATTGAAAATTTGCATTTTGCTCGGTCTAACCCAATTGAATAAAAGGATAACCAATCACACATAATTTTTTTGTTTTTACACATGTTACCAATCCAAATGGGGTCTTTCTACAAGTTAAAGTTTGATGCGTCAGAAATGCTGGAACCCTATAATTAGGTCAGATATAAGCACTGTTTTTACCATTATTCAACGCCAATTAAAGTTATCAGATTAAAGTGATCAGTAACTTTCATGACAGGAAGCTATATTTATCTACATTCTGAGAAATAATAATTTCATACATCTTAAAGCATCAAAGATGTCAAAAGCAGAAAGGATTCATCTGGTATCCTTGTCAAGCAAATATGGATCAGAGGTTTCCTGAATCTCTTCATTGAAAATTCTGTCCTAAAGAGGATTTCCATAAATTTTAAACTACGCTGAATAAAATTGCCACTGAAATGCTATTCAGATGAAGAGCGCCAGTGCGTGGGAGGCAGCCAATAAAAGCTGTCAATTGAAACCCATCAATCCATTTTTCACCCTTTATTTTCTCACCTTCCGATGGTGATGGTGCAGTCAATCGTTTGCTTCATTAACAAATTAACATACAGTAGAAATGCTTCAGTGGGAGACGTTACGTGATCTGTAAAAGGGAGTTTGGGTCAAAGGCAACTAAATCATGCCACTTTGACATAATATATGAAAAGTTTAAAAGCGAGCCATTGACATGATGGATGTACTATGGGTGTAAGCCACCCAGTTGCCAAGAATCTTCTGAAACACTTCTTCCAATACAAGTGTAGGGTTAGAACGGTGAACATTTGGCAACACACAAAAGCTCATGTAACTTGCTATTGGGTTGCTTCTTTGCCATGGCTATTATTTGGTTTTATTATAGGTGCAAGCAAGCTCGAGCTTTTCCAGCATTTTATTCAGTAAAAGTTCTCCATCCCACCCACCTTTATTTTTTTTTTTAAATTACATTTAGGCCTACATCATAAATTTAAGCATTACATTTATCTGGTAAAAAAGTTTGAGTAGAAACTTGACTAACAGCACAGCTGCTTCAAACTTTAAAAAGAAAAGAAAAAGACTAGTTATATAAAATGTAGATTAATCAATAACTTTATTGATCAAAGTAGTCAACAAATTTACAAAATGTAAAAACATGAGCAAATTGCAATACAGGTACTTAACAGTAAACAATGTGAGAAACTACACAAAATGGTAACCAATGGGTAAGCAATAAAAAAATTAGATTAAATTCTTAAATGACAAAAAATTCAAGTGGCTGATATGAATGGTATGCCTGATATGAATGGTATGCCAACTACTTAAAGGTGACTGGAATGGAAGTTTCCTTTGGTTCTTCTAATGCTTTCTTTTGAATTTTGATGCCAAGGACACCATGGGCATTCATGGTTGATGTAACAGATTTAGCATCTACATCCTGTAAAATATGGACGGTAAGAATTATTTTCTGCAATAAAATAACACAGGGCTGAATAGACAAACTATAAATAGAGAAAGTGAATTGAAGAACAGAAATATAAGGAGCATAATTTTAACGGATATCTGAAATGTGACAATGAATAACATATAGGCACACATTAAGTTTTAGACCCAAAATAGTTGATGTCTTTTAATAATAAAGGCATGGCATCATTGAATTAATCTTTTAATACTGAAATCAAACAAAAAGTATCAAATTTCCTTTATTCGCAAGTCATTGTCAACATAGAAAATTGCAAATGTTTGCTTCATTTTATTGTTCAAAGATAAAAAATGTGTCAATATACTTCAGCTGCAATAATATTCACAAAATACTTACATCTGGCAGCTTGTAAATCCGTGTTATTTCCCTGGAGACAAAGCCATGGTTGTCTTGTTTCTCTTCATGCTTAGCATTAATTGTGATTTTTTCATTATCCGAAGTTATTTTGACCTCCTCTGGCCTGAACTGATGAAGATCCATGCGGATGCGGAATTCTTTGTCTGTATTATGGACCTGGAAAAGATTTTAATACGAGTGAAGGTCAATCTACTTGGAATTAATTAGTTTTGCATTAATATTCAATGTTCAAAGTCTTAAGTTGTTGCCAATGGCCTCTTGTAAAATGAATTGATACCAGTTAACATATAAAAGTATCTGTAAGTTTAGGCAACAGTTATGTTTCATTACTTATAATACCCCTTGTACTAATTTTAAAGATCTTATCAAAATTCCAGACAAGTTCAAGATGCAGTAGGCAGTCCTTCCTTGCAATTGTGCCCCAAACAAATCTTAGATACATAATATATATATATGCTTAGATTTGACAGATTATTACCAGAGAGTAGGTGGTGGACTTCAGTAAATTACAAAAATTAAGTGTCATAAGTAGCGAAACCCTCTACTCCCGTTTCCTGTGAGATGCTGTGACAATTATTAATTATAATAATTACATCTGCTTGGAAAATATTTAGAGCAGCAGACAAATGGGATTGTTGAAATTCAAGAATAACATGTTATAGTAAAAAACAAAAAACAAAGCCCCTTGTCAACCACTGTACTAAACAAATGGAAGACCAAGATTTAGGTAGGCTTCGGCCTTGGCTTTGTACTTTGTTGACTACATTCACTAACTGAAAAGCCTATGCCTATATTATATATTACATATACTTAAAGGATTAACATTTAGCCAGAAGGATTAACATTAAGCCAAGGGGGGGGGGGGGGGAAAGCAAGCAAGAATTACCTCAGACTCAGCATATCGTCTTACAACTGGTCTCCCATCACCCGCTGAAGCTACGTTGTAACCCGCAGCATCACACGGGTTGTTGGAAGCAAGTTCATCTGCCAGGCGAAGGTAAAGCGACAAATCATCCAACAAAGGATTTGGTTGGCGAACAACTCGATACATTCTCTCTGGACTTGAAATAAATTGATCGACTTGATCAACAAGAGTTCACTCTCAGCCTTGAGTCTTCAATTACTAGACAGCGGGGAAGAAGTCAATTTATACCATGACTGGTATGCGCCTAGCCAGTGCTAGAAATTTCGGGTTTCGTCCACAGTTTTCACGAGCGCCGCGCTCGGTCATAACAATAACAAAACTTCTCACTGTGTGTGTCCTTACGCGAAGTTCTAGTGTTTTCTTTAAATATGAAATGTTATTTCAAATCAATTTATTATTTTGAACATTTTAAATATATTTTAAAATAATTTTTCTACCGTTTTTTTTTTTAAATTTTAAATTATTTATAATATAGTTATTTAATTTAATGGCAATTGAGTTTACAAGCAATGTAATCTTGGTATCGAATTTTAATTTACATGTCATTGACATGTCCGGAAATTTCTCAAATACAAACTCACAAGTATTTTTTTTTTAAATATAATCTGAAACGGACATAAGAAAACAGTTTTATTCCTTTTGAAACAAATTTTTGCAATATTTGTCACAGTTATAATCAAATGTTTAACATTTGAATGCATAAATAATATATTGGTCCACATTCCACAGTCTCCCATTACCGGTAGGGAGATTCTAAATAATTCTAATCGAGTTCGTTTGAATATTCTCAGTATCGATATTGATTGTTTATCAACAGAAACACATGGTGGAAGGAAACGAAAGTGAAAGTGAAAAAAAAAACCAAAAAAATTGCAATATATATTTTTTTCATAATGTTTAGTTAGAGTATACCAATTTTAATTGTATTTCTCTAAATTAAATTACCTTTAGAATTAGAATGATTGAGAATGCCCTAGAACTATCAAGAAGAATGTCGAAAAAAGTTTATACGCAGTCAGGCAAGCAGATAAACAGCGATGGTTAGTGTCATTGGGACATTTGCGTAGTTAGAAATGTTTATGTTCTAGAGATTTCCGTATACAATTGGACATGTATATAAAAGTGCATTCGTCTCTTAAACTTAAATTATCATTACCGTGTCAGTGTCGCTATCGTCGGAAGTGCTATTCTTCACATTGTGACTGTGGTAACAATAACAATTACTAATTACATTGATTGTTGAAGTGAGATTTGAGTCAAGCTAACTTAACAGAAACAATCTTTCCTTCAAAATGTTTCCAACGAGAATGTTTGCATTATTGCCCCGGCTTATTGATGAGATGACTCCAATGATGCGCCTTGCGGATGAACTAGCAAGGTATCCCGCTATTGGCCTGGTAGACAAAAACTGGACATTGCCATCCTCAGTCTCAGGAGAAACAGAGGTAAGAGAAAGATTAAGAATACAAAGATGTGGTAGCGTACTCATTTTGATTTTGTAAAATCTTGACTAGTAGTTAAATGTAGTGTACTTGTGTTGTGTTGCAATTCATGTCCATGGTTGTTATGGAAAATATATTTTAACAATACAGTCTAGATTGTAAGCTCAGATGAGATTAAATTAATACAATTACTTAGATTTTTATTTTTTAAAGCTTAGGTGAAACAAAGCACACAGCACACATTTCTGAATTAAGGCTTTGTGAACACAATTAATTCGTTTACTTGACTAATTTATAATAATGTCTTCAGTCTTAATGATTTGGAGAATGCTGAATAACTTAAACTTAAAGTGAATGATATTGAAAAAAATTAGGCCTATAATAGTCTATTGCTATTTTTTAAAATAAACTTTCACAGGTTCACAACACAGACAAAGAGTTACGAATTCGCTTGGACATGCAACATTTTACACCTGAAGAGATCAAAATCTCATCAGACAATCAAAGAGTTACAGTCACTGCCAAGCATGAGGAGAAACAAGACAATCATGGTTTTGTGGCCAGAGAAATAACACGCATGTTCAAGCTGCCAGAGGTAAATATAAATTGATTTATCATTATATTACAAACTGCCTACACCTAAATTTGATAATTGAAAATCAATGTCTGTGAAAATGTAATGACTTAATAGTTTTGAATAATAATCAACTAAAATTTTAACATTTATATTAACCGTTTCAATTTTAAAAAAAAACAAATGACATGTAAACAAATTTAGATACAGGTTCAACTTTTAAAAACAGGATGTTAGTCTGAAAATTTTCCTTTGTTGTAAATCAACATACAAAACACTTGTAGTGGATCAGTGTTGGGGGAGAGGACAGGAAATAGTAATGATTCACTTTATTATGAATATATTTCAATATTTAACTCCCTCCATTTATGGGGGCCATCCATAAAGGACATCATGTACCTAGTTAGTTAGCTGGTCAGATATCTGGGATTTAAAAAAAAAAGGGGGGGGGGGG